AGGACCCTTGACACCTCTCCAAAGAAAATGCATGAAAATACCCTTTGCACCTCCTTGCACCAACACCAACACACCCATTTCGACTTCCACTTCGCCACCAGCAGCGACGAAAAGAGGGCAGGCGGGCCGCGCTTTTGAGCTCGGTCCTTCAAGATCGAGGCGCTCGTGGAGCCTCTCGTAGGGCAGCACCCAAGAGCTGGGCAGAATCTTGGTAGATGGCCTGCCTGGGAGGCTGAGAAGGCTGAGAAAGCGAGATGGGGAAGCTGAGAAGGCATTCTGACTAGGTACATGGGGAAGGCGGATGGTGCTAAGGTAGAAGGTTGGGGTTGAGATGTTGGACACTACTTGAAGTTCAATGTGATTTTGGGCTTGCGGTTTGTGGCGTGGTTGTGGATTAGTGATTGATGCAAGCTGAGGTCATGGTTGCATGTGGTTCGTTCTCGGCTTATGTGTTTGGCCTCTATTGGGCTATATTGGTCTTCACGTTTGATATGGTTCAGATGATTCATGGTTGGGCAAATTCACTGAACTGAAATATACTCAAATGGACCGTGATTTGCCAACCATGGACCGGGATCTGGTTCTCAATTGGTGGCCTGGGTATCTCTTTAGCCGGTTTGCCTTATTTCTTACGGGCCAACAAATAACCATATTATGCTTTTAGATCATAAGGGTTGCTGTCTGGATCTGCGTGTTCGATTTGTTTGTTCAATTCTTCTGGAGACCCACTCAAAGACCAGTACAACCGTGTTTTTGACACCAAGAACTATCACCCAGCAACCAAAACTGACCTTTTGATAAACTCGACCCAAAAGGAACAGTGACTGGTCCTCTAAACAAGGACAAAAATCAAGGAAGTCTGTCCAGTTCATGTAGACTGACTCTGGATTGATAATAGAACCCCCTATATATAGGGGTGTTATGAATCAAGGGTCTACAAAAACACGGGGACCCCCCCAAAAAAAACTGGTCCCCCCGGTCAAACCGACTGTCCCAAGGCACATCACTGCAGTGGAGCCTTCGGTGATGATCCGCATGAGCAATCGAGCCACCAGGCCTGGGTCCCATCGTCCGCTGGATCGATCCCCGTCGGTGGAGATCTTCAATCCACGGTAGGATAGACATGCATAGACTTGAAACATGACAACAATATATATATATATATAAAGAATATGAAAGAATGACCCTTTCTTCGGACAGGACGGTTTCGAATTCGGACGGGAGGGTTTCAAACATCCAGCGAAAGATCCTTGGCTTTCGACATTCGAAACCAAAAAGCTGCTATCCAGAGACCAACGAAATGTGTGACAACGTTGATGGAATTCCTCTAGCTTTACGTTCCTGGATACGCTCCATGGATTCACAGAATCTGAGGGGTCTCTCCACCTGCACCAAAAGCTGAGCAAGCACCTTCCCAACAAGAAAAGCCAAACAAAACACACACCGCGGCCCACACGACACGCCCGACACACGTGGGAGCCAAGGGACCGATGGACCATCGGAAGCCTTCAACCATCAACTCCTGAACTTCATCACTGTCCTGGACTTCTGGCATCAGTCGGTTGCAACAGTCGGCTCGCTGGGCAGCGAATTGCAACAGCTCAGGCGAGACCGATGGCGCAATTCGCTGGGGCGTGCACATGGGACCGTGCACGATGCCACACAGACACATGGTCTTGTTGGTTGGGGACGATGGACACGGTGAATGTCGATGGGCGGCAGCATTGAATTGGAGTCAAGGTCGATTTATGTTTGGATTCAAGGTTTCGGACTGTAGCGGTGACAGGAAAAGGCCTTCACCAGTTACCCCCAAAAACGCTCAGCAAGGTGGATCTGGGTCAGTTGGAGCATGGATGGGCCATGGAAGTGGGAGCGTTATGTGACCCCGTGGAGTATCAAAGACCTTGAAAAGGCCACGCGAACTGCCTTGGGTCGACCGTTGAAGTTCTCCGACTCGGACGGTCGCCCCAAGAGATCCATCTACAGCGGTGTGTCGAGATCCGCTGCGTGACAGAGCCCAAGACTCTGTCTTACATAAATACTCCTAGTAGTAGCTTCTTGTTGCTAATAGTAAGGCCAGGAGCGCCGTTCGTAGCGTCCGATCGCTCCTAGTAGCGATGCCCTTTGTTCCTAGTAGCGTCCTCTACTCCCTGTTTCAAGATCTCAACAGGTTTGGTATGACAGTGAGTTCTGCCCTGGTCTGAACACAACATCATTACACCAAACAACCTGGCGGCAGTCTTCTCCACATTCTCCCACACACTTGCCATCTGTGCTGCTTTGGAAGGGATCCCTATGAAGATCTCCAAAAGAGCCAGGACATGTGGAGATGAGGTGCAGATGATTCTGCAAAAAAGGGTGGGCATGTGAGAGATTGCAATTGATCAGCCTAGCAATTGAAAACACTGAAACACATCAGTGAATCAGGCATCAACAGCAACAGCACAAGTGTCAGACCATGAACGATCTGCATGCGACAGCTCTGTTCTTGCAAATCACGTGCCACGACCATGCGAAACAAATAACCACGCCTCAAAAAACGCTGGTTTCCATTTCAACGTGACTTGTTGGCTTGGATTCAAGTCCTCGTTGACCCACATGTCCGGTTCCCTCAGTGGTGCAAATCGGCTGCGGCTAAGCCTCGCCCCCGGTGATAGTGCTGGAGGAAATCTTCTTGGTCGGAGTCGTCGATGCTGCCAGGTTCTTGGTGGGCCAGTGGCACTGTGAATATATAATACACTTGGGATAATTTAACTTGGCACAGTGGAGGGAAAAAAACACCAATAGAAAATGAAGTTGATTGAACAACTATTGTCATACTAATAGCATGTTGTAGTACAACAGTTCATTCTCAGCACATGCTTCAGGGCCATGACGCAACAACTCGAAGCATCGATTCCGAGCTCGTTGGATCGGACCCTCCGCTGGGCGGCACGACAGGCACCGTTCAAAGGGTCTGCAGCAGGGGCAGCACGGGGTCAATCCCACAGCCAAGATAGAGAAGCAGTTGTATGCTATTGGCGGTCACTGTATAGGTCCATCCGGTGATTTTGCTCTGCAGTGATTCCCCCAAAAAAGGCCATGTGCTTCATTCGGCTGCTTTGGATTTCAACCTGTGCACCCCCAGTTGCTTTGGCATCCCAGAACCTCCAAGCGAGGAGCTGCTTCTTTGGCCATGTTCGCAACCACATCTTTCACCACCGCCACACAGGAATCTGTGAAGGGCGCGAAAAGCTCGATGGGAACGCCATAGCCTGGCCAGTGGCAGGAGCTCCTTGAGGAGAATTGGTGGAAGTTCCACGAATGCGGACTCATCTACACTAACAGTCACTAACCTGCGGATTCATTTGGATATGCATCTATAGAATCATATAGAATCCAAGAACATCCATTCAGGATCCTCCCCAACTGTGCAGTTCCCGCTTCCCCCTCACCTATCGCTCCTCTCGGTCCGGATTCCCGCCTACGTGGCGCAAGCCCAGGCCGCTCAGATCATCCACCATCTCCTTAGATGTGAACCCGGCATTCACGAGGTGATTGATGGTTGATCTAAAACTGGGCTTGCACTGATGTTAGTCATATCATCTGTATCTATGTCTATATATCTATATACATAACAAAAAAGATAGCTCCACGTCAACCAAGCACTGGTTGTTGGTTATTGCTTGATCAGCACTTTGAGCATCTTGTGCCCGATAAGGGCTCTTCGCATGTTCGGATGGATCAGTTTTTCCGAAGCAACTGTCCCCACACGTCGCTGGCAAATGCTGACAGCCCGAGAATCCCTCAAAATCAAAGCCTCCCGCATTCTATACCTGCCCCAAATGAAAATATGATCTGCATCGGCCCATGTCATCCAAAATAAATATGCACCAGGGATTCAACAAGCATCTGCCTGTGAACCTGGGGATGCTTGGGGGGGAAAGATCGGGTCTGTCCACCAACCTCAGACCTCACAAAGACACACAGGTCAAGTGATTGTCCGAGTGGGTTTTCCTCCTAAAAAAGGAACTTGGGGAGATCCTGGTGTAGATCATTTTGTGAAAGCAAAACCAACTCTTGGTCCTACAAGAATGCCACGGGTTTCAGTTCAATGTCCCGATACCTCGATCCTCGGTTTTGAGCACTAAGACTTTCCTTCCATCTGTTCCACCTGTATTGATGTCTACCTGCTCCGAGATCGCTCCCACCGTGGGCGCAATCAAGATGCTCCAAGATCTTCACGTGGTGACGGACGGCCCCGAAAAACCAAACAAAAAAACACGGCACAAAGCGATGTGAAGGAAAGAGGTCAAATCCTCACAATGAGTATTCAGAATTATTCAAACAAATTCAAAGCCATAGCCTGAAATCACTTGTCCAGTTTTATACCAACACAAAAAAAATTATTACACCCGCTCACCAACCGTCTTTCTCTTCTCCGATTTTTCTTCGGATTCGGCTCCACCTCTCCAGTCACGCATCATCTTTGGGCGTGTGGAACATCTCGTAGGATGACTGCAGCACCCGGTCTGCGATGTAGTGCAGTCGGGTCTGAGACCTCGGTCGCTTTCCAAGCGCCGAGGTCGATGTGAGGGATGGGGCCGGCCGGAAAAAATACATGGTTTATGCGCGTCAACCCTTCTTGCAACCACCCAAATAGCTTAAACATGTAATAAATGAATGCTGAATCCTCTGAAAGCTGGATGCTTGTGGGGATGTGTTTCAATCACTCCTTTATTGAACCAATAGACCCACCACCTCCCGCCACACCTACCCATACTGTCCTGTTCGGGGAACATGATCAATTCGTCGACTGGTGACTGCAAGCTCTTTTGCGGGAAACCTTTTCTTCACCAGTTGTCCTCTGCAGTTTTTTCACCAGTTGTCCTCTGCAGTTTCATCGGTCATCTGAGTTTCAACCCGAGGTGACCTCGTTTTCTGGTTGAACAGAACAATTTACTGTTCAAAGACCTGTAAGACTTGGATTTCGGCCACGCATCCGCATCCGCTGACTTGTTTTCACCACAGCCATTGAAGCTCCTGCTGGACTGCCCGGCTATCACCACCATAATATGGATCGCCCCATGTAACAACTGTCCCGTCAGCGAGCACTGCGACAAACGCCCCGTCCGTCGAATGAATATTCTGTACATGTCTCAGAGAATGTTGAACCCCATCGCTGTCACCACCACTCTTAGGATCGCCCCATGTGAGAACTCTTCCATCACCAAGGCGAGCAGCAAAAGCACTTTCTGTTCCGACAATCTCGCGCACGTCTCTCAAACGATCCTGAACCTTGCTGCTGTCGCCGCCATGTGTCGAAGAGCCCCACGTAGCGACCGTTCCATCAGCAAGGAGCGCAGCACAAGCAGCCATGTTTCGACAAACACCCTGCATGTGTTTCAGCTGATCGTGCATTCCCACTGGTGGGGGTTTGTACCCCCATGCAACACATGTTCCATCACTGAGGAGTGCAAAGAACTCAGAACGGCTTGTCAATACGTTCTGCACGTCCTTCAGTTGACCTTGGACACCTTTGCTATCACCGCCAAATTCAGCTCCACCCCATGTCACAACTGTTTTGTCATTGAGAACGGCTGCGAAGGCATCCTCTGTCGCATAAATCATCTGCACATTGCTCAACTGCTCGCGCACGCCACTAATGTCTCCACCCGAACAGGAAGCGCCCCATGCCACAACCGTTCCATCATGAAGAAGTGCAGCAAAGGCAGCATCTGTAGGAAAGATCTCCTTCACATGTTTGAGATGATGCTGGACTTGGCTGCTGTCACCACCAGCCAGTGCATTGCCCCACGTAACAACTGTTCCATCACCCAGGATGGCAGCAAAAGCACCCCAGTTTGTCCGAATCTCTTTCACATTCTGAAGCTGATTTCGTTCGCTACCAGGGTCACCGCCACATCCTGGATCACCCCATGCAAAAACCGTTCCATCACCCAGGCTGGCTGCAAACGCACCACGCGTTGAATGGATTGTCTGCACATTGGTCAATTGACCTTGCACTGGGCTGCTGTCACCACCATACGTTTCAGAACCCCAAGTGACCACTGTCCCGTCCCCAAGGAGTGCAGCAAAGCCACCAAAATCTGTGGAGTGAATGCTCTGGACGTTTTGGAGTCGATCTTGAACAGGACTGCAGTCGCCACCCTCCTCCAATTCCCCCCATGTAACAACACCGCCTCCGCAACACCACAAAGCAAAGGCGAAGTTTGTGGTTGCCACCAGTGGTGACTGCACAACTGCACCAAGATAATCCTCAGCTCAACAAAACAAAGATTTTAGGTAGACGAAGACCGCTTGGGCTTCAAAAAGGTTTCCCCGCAAATTTGCTGTTCTTGGTACGTTGGCTTAGAGTAAAGGTTCTCCGGTGAGTTGGTCTGCTTTTCCATTGTTTTGGCTACACACCACCCTCGCAGCAGATGTGTAGCATGGTTTGTTTGAATAGCCTCCTGAACCTTCATTTGCAGCACGTTTATTGCGAACCTACGGTTTGAGCACTATCGGACGTTGGTGACGTTTCCGATGAAATGCTCACTTTTAGGAGTGTTGAAGGGTTTTGCGGATGTTGTTTTAAGATGCTGAAGACTGAAGGGTTCTTGGGCCAGAGGTGGAAACTCACAAAATGCGCTCAAATTGCCGAAAACATGCACGCGGTTCGAAAAAGTTGCAAACCGCCCCAAAAAGGGTAAGTTGTGGTAGGTTGACCTCTGCTCTTTCTCTGATAAGGTTCCATGCGCATTTTTGTTAGTGATTGTAGCGCCTTTTGCTCGAGCCTTTTTGTAGCGAAGGAGGCTGCAGGCTTCTTTCACGCCAACAAAAAGATTAATGTGGCCCCAAGTGAGCAGATTCTTCGCTGAACCAAGCTTTGGGGGAGGTGTTTGTTGGATTGATTGAATTGCTGCTGGTGCTGTTTCTGAACATCTTTGGATTTGCTTGCACCAAAGCCCTTTTTCCAGGATTGGTTTTGTATCCCTCGTACTTAAAGTCTGGTGATTGATGAGTCAAAAATCAAATGGCCTTTCTAAGGGATTCTTGAAAGGTCGGCGCACGTGCACGACGCGTCAATCCATCACTGAGTCACTCATCCTCTTTCCCAGCCACAAGTTTCGCTGGAGTATTGGACGTCCAAGTCTCTCCATCTTTGAGTCCAAGCTCTGCAAGTGCAGCAGTTGGATTCAAAAGTTGTCCATCAGGGCTGAGGAGCTTCAGGAAGCCTGGCCAAACAAAGAGATATTTATGTCAAGACATTTTAGGTCCACCTGCAGCCTGCAGCTAAAAGGAAAAACATGATCTTGGATAGCCAAACGATTTCAACTCCCTCGTTTGTTCAGCTGGTCCCGAAGGACGACTGACCACGGTCCGGTCCGGTTGACAGACCGCATCCATGTGGACCTGAGTCAGAAATCACCCACCGACACCAAACATGCCACGGAAACAACAGAACCAAAGAAACTCATGCAGGAAGCTAAACTTGGTTGGTCTTCACATGTCGTTGGGAGAGCTACCCAGGCCCGCCTTGTCCCAAAGACTTCTGGGCAGCAACTTTCAGATCCCCAATTTTGGAAGTCGCAAGCACTGAGACTTCTGCATCACGGCCACCTTGGCCAGCAAACCAAATCAAATTCTCCCTTCTTTAGTAGTGTGCCCCGAAACCAGGACCGGCACTGGCAAAACAACTGCCAAACAATTTGAAGCTCAATCAATCAAGCTGAGCCACTCGGGAGCACTACCTTCACTCTCAACTCTGGACACTGACGGAGAAGCTTTCTTCCTTTCCGAACCATTTGTGCACTGCGCCAGCGTCAGGTCATGTGAGCCATGCTGCGGTGGCATTGACACTGTTAGAAGCATCCTCAAAATACTAAATTCTACAGATTCAAATGCAGCAGGATCTTTCTGGAATGCTGCAGGTTCTTCCAGGGTGCGCCAGGGTGCGCTGGACTACTCCAGCATAACTGAACCCGGCTTCCATGGGACACCGGTGGCGAGGGTTGTGGTGAGGGGTTGCACCTATGTGAGGGGTTGTGGTCATGGCGAATTCGCACCTCTGCGAATGAGGGGAATCAGTGGTGCACGTTCCGGGCGAAGGTTCGCCCGGAACTCTCGGCCAGCGAGAAGATTCAGCGCCCATTTGCAGCTGGTGGATGAGGAATGATAAGGAGATCCCCCAAGATCTGTCCAACATCTTCCAACTGGGTTGAAGACTTCCAGACACTGAGAACCCTCATTTGGTTGATCTACACACTAGGTTGATACGCTTCTTCTCTAGAACCCGGTGTTCCTGCCGATTGCACCAGAGCAATTCTCGGGCCCCCCGGCTGCTTGAAGATCTCCTGACTCGCGGGGCACTTCGCCAAGAAGTCCGAGTAGAGGTTGTTTCGGAAGAAGTCCATCTCCCTAAGCCAATCGTTGCGAGGCCGATGATGATGATCATTGTTGTGTATGTTTGTTATTTGTTTATTACATTACAGTATATCTATTACTTGAAGAACGAAAAGATCTGTCGACTCCAGTTCGGCCCCATAAAGGCTGCGGCTCCAGGGCCCAGCTGGCTGGGGAGAAACTGGTGCAAAGGAGTGGAGCCTTCACAGTGGCGCTGCAACCCAAGGATCTCGACCTTCTTGAGCTCCAAATGGCAGAACGTCTTCCAAACCCTTTGCGATATAACTATCAACTGCTATTTCCCACAAAGATCAAAGGACTAGTTACAACCCAGTCTATCCAAGCAGTAACTCTTGAGACCACCGCTGTGGTCGGTCCTCGGTCGGTCGGCGGATCGCTCATAAAACAAGAAACCAACGGCGGATCACGGCGGCCATCGATGTCGAACCGTCGAGAGCGAGGACGTCGGATCAGGCTCAGGGTACCCTTCCCCCAGCTTCGAAAAGAGTTGGGCGTTGTAGGGCTTGAACTCCCTCGCCTGCCGTGCGCGGAGGGAGCAAGCGGAGCAAGCCCGCTGGCTAGGTCAATTTCTGCGCAAAAAGGATGGTGGAGGGCCCTGTCAAAGAGGACAGGTAGGGATGTCCGTGGAGGTAAAGGAGGAACTGTTCAACCTATTGAGCGGGTCAATAGAATCAATTCAAATACATGGTCAAAGTATGCGAAGTGACCGACAGTATATGCATACAAAGGGAGAGTGAGAGAGATGGAAACCCATTCAAACCCCTAATGATATACTTGGATCACATACGTTGCATGCAGATCAATTTTTGGGGTTGTGGGGATGATATCACCATCCGAATTCGATGGAGCTGACACTTTTCTGCGTTTGTCTTACCCAAGTCTAGAGTGTTGCAGCAAGGTGCCACTGGTTTAGCCCATGCAGAATGTATAGTCAAATAGTAGTTCAATTTGTTCACACCTTTGGCCTAATTATCCTAATTACAGTCTACATGATTACTTGAACCCACATGAATTCCTACAAATGCCAACAACGCCACGCCTTGATGGTGGACTCCCGCAAGTTGTGGCTGATGGTTGCCCACAGCCACTCCCAGGCCGTCTCATGGGTCATGCTCCAACTCTTCGGCAGCCTGGGCGGCATGGACCGACGCGGAAGCCCAAGGCTGAAGAGTCTAGGTTAAACCGTCAAACAATGTTCAACATGCTGAAACGAACTTGACAAGCCTGTTGGATTTGGCTAGGGGGGTTCCCAATTCCCCGAAGGGTTTTGCAGGTTATCCGGTTATCCACTGACTGTTCTCGGAATGGCAATATTTGCTTCTGGAACTTTGTCTCTTTGATCTTTTGCTACCGCCTGCGGAGTTCTGTGAAAACCAGGTCTGCGAAACAAAAGCCCTATTGGTCATCGTCCTCCCTGCACAGCTCTGAATCAGCTGAGGATCAAAGAGCGCAGGGCCGCAAGCATCACGGGTTTGAACTTCTCAAACTGAATGTCCTGGTGAAGAATGGTCAACATATTAATCTAGATGACATGAGTGGCGGCCCCTCATGCATTCAAAGGATTGACAGTATATGAAAATAGTGCTCTTGCAAACGTCGTCCTGCTACTTTGTGGGCATACAAGAGTTCAGCAGAAGACCAACCAGATTCTGATGAAAATCCAGTCATCGCTGAAACACGGGCGGAAGCCGAGTAGAGCAAAGAATAAAACAATGTAGTAGAAACAAGTCCTATAAAGAAGAACTTGTTGAAGCTCCTAGTAACAAGTGCATCGCTAGTAGTAACAAGTGCCTTACTAGTAGTAACAAGAGCTAATAGGAACAAGTGCCTTACTACTAGTAACAATTAGAATGTAATTGGAATTAATGGCTTCTTGTTACTACTAGTTGAATAAGACCTTCTCACGAGTGTTCCGTGTCCGTGCCGTCACATCCGGGCCCCATGGGCCCGGCGTGTCTAAGGGTGTGCCTTCGCTCGGAGTCGATGTTTACTTGTGCATTTGATCAGTCTAAGACTTACAGCTTCTTGCTACTAGTAGTTATGCCAGGAGCTACTAGTAGCGATGCCCTTGTTACTAGTACAGCTTCTTGCTACTACTGTTTTCAGATAGCCCATCCGAGTTTCCAGACAGCCCATGCGAGTTGTTCAGATAGCCCATCCATTCCCTCCATAGTTGCAAGCAGAAGCTGGACTCCAGTGTTCTATCTAAATGACACGTTGTTCAGACAAACATAGACCTTTTGGTGTTGTTCAATACCAGGGGAAGGCCTCGTTCGTCGATCCTTCCAATCCAACAACCCCCCCGACGCAATCTAGCAACACGACCGCTCTTTTGCCGGCCATGGTCGTTCGCAAGCGCAGGTGGCAGGTTGTGGACCTGAATTCTACCCAAAGCCACCTGTACAAACACCTCTCCCTGGTCCCTGTGCTGCTTTCTGAACCCTTCATGACTTCATGGTTTGGCGCATCTCTTCTTCCAGGTTCATGAACTGTGGCATTACAAAACCAGCTCCTTCCGAACATCGTTCAGGAGATTTGGGGTCTCCTAAGCACCCCGGGCAGTCCGACGTTCCAGCACCTCGGAGCGTTCACCACCCGGGGTCCTTCGCCTTGGTGATCATACTGATGGCCAGCAGTTCACACTCCTGACGGCACCGTGCGGATTCGGATGCATCCGAGCACGCGACGCGAACGGGTCGAATCTGAAAACGAGAAGAAGCACGTCTTGCGGATGGTGAGATGACACTGGCGAAGACGGACGCTCTTGTTTCGGACCAAAGAAGTTTCTCATAAAGGAGAGCTTGTTTTGGGTCACTTCATTGCGTGGGCGTCTGGCGGAGTGCATTCTCATGTTCGTGGGTTGCAAGCCTGACTGACTTCATGTCTGACTCCATGCTGCCCTGAAGCAAACACCACCAGCCTCCATCAAGTGCGATGGGTTTCCAATCCGCTCCACCAGCACCTCAGAACAATGGCCCGAGCGCAGAAGCCTCTTGGTGCCAAAGAAGAACATCCCTCCGGCTTCAGACCAGACCATCCATGTATGGAATCGTTACATGACCGTCCAACCCACCCCAATGTAGGCGGCAGTCCCAGAGCTTGGGGCTCTCAAATGGAAAGGGCAGAGTCAGAGACGAAGACCATCTCCGGATCATGGAAGAGCTGGGACGTTTTGTGGGTCAGTGAAATCAACCATGTGGAATGGAAAGCAACGGTCAAACCGATTCTCTCCTCACAAGAAAGGGCGAGGAGAGGCTCGTTGCTCCTTGCTGGTTGCTTGCTTTGTGGGCTGAAGATGGACCGTCCCCGTTACGTGTACAATGTCTCGAACATCCGCTCAACCGAGCTCAGTAACAAAGGGCATCGCTACGAAGGGAGCGAGTCGGATGCCACCCTGTGTTTTTGTGCCCTTTTGGAGTACCAAGACACTTACTATACACATCTTCTCCTGACAAAGTGCTTCATGAGAGGCCAAACAGCACCACGTTCGAGGAGTGTCAAGCCCATGTGACAGGGTCATGAGTCATGATCCGGTAAGAGAATGACGCAGCTACACGGTCCTCCCGATTAGAATTGATGATAATAACATCCCCCCAAGCAGTAGGGCTCATAAAACAAAAATATGGAGGGTACATCCTAAGAACTGCTGCGCTCCTAAAGTATAGCTCACGCCTTCAACATGCCCACGTCTTCCTTGAAGAATGCCCAAAGCCTCTAAGTTGCTGCCGAGCTTCATCAAAAACCTGCAAGATTTCTTCCATCCATCCTGACTGAAAAGGGAGAGTGCTTGATATAATTTTGAGTTTACTTACATTGTGGGGAAAAAAACCGTTGGTTCCATAGGCTCACGGATGCTCAAGGTAAGGTTCTCTCCATGTTTATACACATCATCTTACTAAGCATCTTGAACCATCGACTCTACCCCCTCTCTTCCTCCTCATATGCGTTGTGGGAACCCAAAGTACATCAAAGCACCCTGCACACCACATCTCAACATCTGCATGAAACAGGTCTCAACTCACCCACCACGCCATCACCGTCCATCCGTCTTCCCTCAGATCTCTTCCGTTTCACCGTCCTTCCGTGGGTTGCCCGATGACCTCGCTGCTGAAGGCGCACATCCCGGCGAAGCTCCGATTCACATGCTCCTCGGTGCCCTCCTGCGGCCGAGTGAGCCGAGCTTCGACAACGAGGGCAGGGCGAGACCGTCTGAGCGGTTGAAAAAAAGTAAAAAAACACGGAGCGATGGATACATGGCCGGATTCTGGAAGGTGCAAAAAAAAGTGGAACGGAACCAATGCAGGCAATCCAGGTGCTTTGTTAATTAGTCGAAAGCCTCTTTGGTACAATTTCTTCCCTTTTCGGTGAGCTTCGCCTCATGCTCTTGGTCTTGAGCTGACTGGATGACACGCCAATCGTCCTGCCAGGGCCACGATGGGCGGTCTCGGTCTGGTGTTTCGAACGGACACCGACACACCAGAACCTCACCATGTTCGACCAGGCTGACAAGGTTCTTCAAGGTTCTTCCAGAGGGCCGGTATGGTCGGACCGTGGCTGACCCGGGGGAAACACTAGGCCGGCCGCTGCCCCGCCGTGAGCTGGCGTGTGGGGCGCTGGGACGCAGCTTACGTTTGTTCTCCCACCATGAAAACCAAACCGCTTCAAAGCCTTTCGTGGCTGCCTGGATGATCTTGAGCCGGTCTGTGTAGGTGGAGCTGATATACCTGTCCACCGACGTGGGGTTCACAATGAAGTGCATCGAGCCGAGATGAGCCGAGCGAGCCGAGCACTCCATGCTGTTGTTCACTGTCATTAACATATAATGGGCGTGTCATTTACTCAAACTCACATGGAAGTGGATGGCACCACCATGGCACCACATGTTTAATCGTGGAAGATGGTCATCCATGTCAGGTCCATGCCATCCACCCTGGCCCCGTGGGTACTGTGGACTTTGCAGTGTAGAACCTGGCTGACACACAGGTGGTGGCCAGTGTTAGCAGGGGGTGCACTAGGCACAATGGAAAGCACCTCACAAATTAAGCGCCTGCGAAAGAAGGCTTCCAGATCTTCCATGCATGGTTTAAACATGCATCGTAACGAAAAATAGTCCCAAAGAACATGCAAAACTCATCTAACTTCCTTCTGAAGCGGGGGTCGGACTGGAGGCCACCAAAGCAAGTCTTACCCGGCCCTGCATTTTCTCTGGCCAAGGTCTTTTGTCCTACCAGTAGTTTAGATTGATGCAGAAACTCATCAAAACTCACCGCGCAGTTTAGGTCCGAAAAGCGCCGCGCCTTTTTGAGGTCTTCGGAGGTCCTCCAGCCCCCCCGAGGTTCGCGGAAAGAACGCGGTGGCCCCGCCTGCAACAGGATCCCGTATAGGTCAGAACCTTTTGCCAGACGTTCACGCTGCCAGGAGGAAGGTCTGGCACGTTCTGCGTGACCAGCTCCAAAAAGGCCTCCGTGACCCCGTCCACGCGCTGCTGATTGATTTCGCAGCCCAAATGCCTGGGAGCTCGAACCATGAACCCCACTGAGACAAAGAAAAGCAAGTCATCCCATTCGATTTTTGGATTTGACTAGAAGCTGGCTTTTGTGAAGCCAAGCACAACCAAGCGTCCTTGTGAGATGTGTTGAGTGAGTGTCAGTGTGTGATCGCAAGCCTAGTTACACTGCAAGCAAACACACCTAGCGCTACGAGTACCTACAGGGAACCGGTGATCCCTGTTTTAGAGCAGCAACCATCGGGCGCCAACTCCATCGATGCAAGGGTTTCCGCCGTGGCCGATGGGGAGAGAATTTCAGCCATTTTAGAGGAGATCGGATCTGCTTCAACGTGCATCATGCGTAGGGAGCGATCGGACGCTACGTCTTAGGGGCTCCGGGGCTCCTGTCTCGTCCCTTCCTCCCAACATCGAAGACCGATGTTTAGTCCCAAGACGCTTGAAGGCCAAGGTTTCCACATGCACCCGGAGGTCTTCTGGGACTGGGCTCTTGTCACAGAGCAAGCGGAAGCCGTTGAAGAGGTTCAAGGAGATGATGGCACGTGGTCGGCCTTGAAACGCCTCCTGAGAAGAGGGGCGTTTCTTTCGAAGACAAAGACTTTCATGGTTCCCACGGATGTGGCACCTTGTGTGGAGCCCCAAGTGGCTGTGATTGGGTGAACTTGGTCCGACAAATACAGATTTGATCCTCGCCCCTCCATGAAGCGGCCTGACATGGATCTCCATGTGTCAGGCGTGGTGCCGTGGTGGAAAGCCATCGCTGCTGCGATGCCATCTCTGAAGTCTAATTAGGTGTGTGGAGTTGGGGAAGCGACTCCAGTGTTTAGGGGTGTGGGCTTGGGCTAGGGATGACCACGGCCTAGGATGGGGAAAGAGGATCAATCCCCTGATCCATGCCAGCATGGATCACCTGGTAGAGAGTCCCGAATCCCAAACCTCACATATGAACTGCTTAGTTGCATGTTCTTGCTGAAAATAGTCAGACCAAATATATTAGAAATGCTACTAGGAACAAGTGCATCGCTACTAGTAACAAGTGCCTTACTAGTAGTAACAAGAAGCTAGTAGTAATAGTCAGACCAAATATAACCAAATCATACACCATGACCGTCCGGGTCCGCCCTTTCGCTTCCCCCACCGGCCTTGATGCAGGTGAGTCGGTGGCTCAAAGCGCCGAAGATCGCATCACCCACCGTCTCCTGCAGGAGATGGCGCTTACACGAAGCCTACCGGTCCAAGGGGTGTTGGTTGGATGCTGGGAGGGTGGGGGGATGGTGTTTCCGAAGCCCGAAGAAACCCGAACAAAAATAGCCTACACCACGTTTCTGACCCGGCTGCGTGAAAGGATTCAGAACCGGTGGGTACCGGGGTGGCGTCCAGTGTCGCCAGTGTCGACCTAGCGCTGGCAAAGGGAGGGATCAACCGATGAAATCCTGCCACAGAAAAAACAAGGAGAAACCATCACAAATGACTTGAACGGCCTCCAATTGAACCGGCGAACCACCACCGCCTGGCCTTCCAATAAGATTCCTTTGCAGAACACAAATGTCAATTGGGAAATTGCTGTACATTGGGTTTTGGCTGCGCTTGTCCGCCAAGGATGTGGATACTTTGCTTGAACAGCTCTACCACTCACAATCTCCACTCCTCAAACCACTTTGCAGGAGTCACAAAGAGTTCCTTTTAGTCCCTAAGTTAGTGGATAATGGGCACCCTTATCATCCAATAGGCACCCCTTTGTGACTCCTGGTATATCGTTCAATTTCGAGCCACGTCCCTTTCTTGAACCTTCCCTCCCAGCCCGCAGCCCCGCGCCCATTCTTTGGCCAAGCCGCCCGTTCTCCACCCAGACTCTTCATGAACATTTCCCAACTTTGCTTCAAAACACACAGCTCCGTTGCCGACCTCGACCCCGAGAAAGGAGAGGTGACGCCGAGAGAGATCCGCTTGAGGCCACTCTTCTTTTTGGAGGAACCATCTGTCGCTCGGTGTCTGGATTCGGGTTGACTAAAGGAGGCTTTTCTTTTCAATTTTGGATAGGCATGAACGGATGGCAAAGAAAGAAATGTGACATGTTCCAACAACTGACCACCTTGACTCCGGGAGAAAAAGAACGGGTGAAATCATCTTGTGCTTTAACTGATATGAATTCAGTGGTTCTTATGCAGCAGATTTGGTCTCTGTGACTCTGTGACTCTGTGACCTCACATGTTTGTGTTTCACATCTATCAGTCAAGCAGGTTCAAGCTCAGACTCAGGCAAATGAAGCAATTCATTCAGTGTCTCAGCGGAGTCAAGCTTGTCTTTGCCTGGCAAATCAGCCCTTCACCTCCGCAAGCATGTTTAAATGCCATTGTCCACTTCTGTGTGTGTGTGTGGTGCATTTATGTACATGCAGTTAATTGATGTATCCAGTTTGCATATAAATGTGTGAAATCAGAGAATGGAATCTGAATGGCTTCGGTGCATTATCAAATTACTAAGCCTCCAGTCCCGTCCAGGAGCGCCTTCGTCCTCCTCATCCACGAGCTCAGTGATGGTGTCCTCACGAGCCACGTCCTCGCTGGCTTCACTCACCGCTTGAAACTCGGTCGCTCCCTCCTGCGAAAAGCGGCGCAGGAAGCGAAGATCGAAGAGCTCGGTCCGAGTCGGAGCCGAGCCGATTCGAAGAACGCACCATCGCATGAAAAGAAAGCGCATCCAAATCAATCACTTTCTGCGCTCCGATCATGACAAGTTGGAATTCCGATGGTTTGGCTTGATTTTGGGCTTCAGTTTCGTGACCCAAACGATTCGACCTGGCGATTCGTGTCAAGAAGTGCCCTTGAGCATCAAAACGATTCGACCGGCCTCAGCCACTTCTTGGTTGGTTTCGTTGGTTTCCTCCGCCATGACCGTTTAGTCAGCAGCCGGCGGGCGGGAAGAAAGCTGACGCAACAACAGGCAGTTGGCCTTTCAAACGAGCGCCTTGAGCCAGATGTCCAAAGACCAGAGCACATGGTCAGGTGCAAATCCCCAGCTCAAGCACCTGGATGTGCCTTGCATTCCACCTTGCAGAACGGAAAGGGGCTCATTTGTCGATCCATTTGCTTTTCATGAACCTTTTTGGAGTGTAATTAGTCTCGTGATGTGCTAACACACCTTGCTTACCACACCTACTGGACAGTTCACATCATTTCACCCTTTTTTTCCAGTAAACCAGCCAAGCTCGTAGGATGTAGAGGTCTTTGGAGCTGTCGATGGTGCATGTCCACGAGGGAGACACCACACCAGCTTTCAACAAACGTTTGTCTGGAGCATGAGCTATGTAAGGTGCATGAGACGTGTGTTTTGTCTTTTGATCAAAGACTTGAATCCCCAAGCCTAACGTGGAGCAAATGCTGAGCACTAAATACATGAATCATGTACCACAAATCAGCTGCTGCTGAGCACTAGCTCGGAAGATCAGCACAATGACATGCACCAGAAGCCCCAAATAAATGAACAGCGGTAACAAACAACCAAAACAATATCTGGTTGGTCTTTTCAACCCACTTAAACAAATATTAGTCAGAGGGTCCAATCATCCCCAAGGAAGGGTTGAACATAAAAATATCCGAAACCATCATCTAGATATGATAAAGTTATCTCCCCAGGTCATCCAATGTTACAACATTAAAAACACTGAACCCTCGCTCTTACCACTTCGACCGATGAGGATGCCCAGACTCCAAGTTCCTGCCGACCCAATCTCGCTACTTCCACCCAATGTCGCAAAGGTGCAACCAGAAAGCTCTCCGAGGGACTCCCAAGCCGAATTCCGTTCTTCCGCTGTCCTCCGCGGTCCTCCCCAGAGCGACCCCAGTCAGGTGCGGGTGGAGGTCACGGTGGCTGTGATGCCTTTCACCGTCACGCTGCTCGAGAGGCCCAAGCGCAGGAGCTCGGCACCTGGCGAAACGAAGAGCGCCAGCAGGCGCGCCAGCCCGAATCCATGATCTACAGCAACATCACTCACCAAAGGTGTGGCATCTCAAAGGTCAGCTAGAAAGTGTTGTTTTTCCAGAAACATATTGAATTGTAATAATGTGTATATAATAAAATGTAATTAACATAATTGTTCATCATCCTGTTTCAGCATCTTTCGCTCTTTGGTGACAGATCCATCAAAAATCACCTGATCAATCATCCGATGCACCACACCCTTTCCCAAACCTCGCAGTGCTTCCCCCCACGCCCCACGCCCCGCGCCTAGGTGCTGAGTGGCCTCGCTCGTCTCCACGCCGTGCAGTCGACCGGCGACCGCCAGGGCCTTCCAGCCGGACGAGGCGGCGGTAGAGGGCCTAGTGAAGGCGAACGGATGGGATACTATAGGGTAGGCCCTGCCCCTGTATGGTAGGGTAGCTACCACTAGGGTCCCTCCTATAGACCCTACCCTATAGGTAAACTATATTTTATAGGAGGGCGCTCTGTATGATTGGGTGGTGAGCAGGGTCAGCTTTCAGGTCGCTGTGCCACCTTGTCCCCCAAGGAATCGCTGTTGGGGGAGGTGAGACAAGAGGAGTCCTGACCTCGGACTGCACTGGTGACCAAACGGTCCGAGGCATTGCAGAATACCCTGTCACACGGTGATCATCCACAACAGGGTCATGAACCCTCATACGTATGACGAGACGAACTCAGTCCCAAAAATGCCGGTTCGTACTTTGGAGCATGTCCCATGTAGTGAGGATGCTGCGTGGTCCAGATCGGAGAACATCGCTGGATCTCTTAAGACAACTGTTGGGGCCGAAGACACTGAAAACCAAAGGAGCTCCGATGACCTCTTGGGCCGTTGCAATCGGGATGCATGTGCTTGTGGACTTGGGACTTGGTAACAAATCCAAACTACCCGGTATATCCGGAGCTGGTGATGGGAATCCAATTCCAAGGGCATCAGTGAGCTTACAGACCCTGATAGATCCGGAGGTGACCCAGTTTTGGAATCGGTCTTCCAAAAGGTCTTGATCAACTTGACCATTCAATCTAAGGGACATGTCACAATTATCTCATATAACTACCTGGTTCTCACACTCTTTGACCTTGATTGCATCACCCTCTCAAGCCCATCCGTCTGAAGCACGCAACTGTCGCTCTCTGGCCCAAGTGCCTCCGCTTCGGGGAGCACCAGACTGTACCAACAGTCCACGGTGTGGTTTTGATTCACCGCTGGCATCAGCGACACTGCCAGGGTTGACAGGTCCTTGCTGGGCGCCGAAAAGACCCAGGAACTCGAAGCCCACCGGTGGGGCGAACGTTGGTTCACCGGCGGGGCAAACGTGCGGTGCAGAAAAGGTACTATTTTTTAGAAAAATAGAATAACATCGAACTGCAAAGCTGAGACAGGAGTTTCCCACATTGGACCACACCCAGTGGTAGGGGTCAAGCTCATGAGCCTAGGACTATTTTTGAATGAAACAGCTTTTCAGGTGTTGTCAAGTTGGAATCGCCGACCAATCGACCGAGCCTAAGACCTTGGGCATCGAGCAAACCTCCGACTGGACACCAAGATCTTGGTATTTGGGCGACTTTTGCATCCCAATGAGTCAAAATCTCATAGTGGAACAATTCCCCTAGGCGCTTCCAGCCGCATCTGCGACTACCCTCTGGCATGCCGATGCGCCGTCCCACTCTGGCCAACCAGCTCGGAGATAGCTGCCTGAGCCTTGGGCGTTGAAACCGACTTCACATTGACCGGGTGGCTTTAATTTGGGCGCTCAATACAGGGTGGATGGATGGATGGCTTTGTAATGCTTTATATAGATCCCTGCTAGTCTGTGGATTGGGGAATTTCCTGGACAAGCGTTGGTTGAGCATGAACTTGCAGCTCAAGCTGCACAGGACAGCCCGTCTTGGCTGTTCTTTTTTTAGCAACATGATTAAAAAACATTGAATAGAATCAGCTTGGTAAAAAAGAAAGAAAACAAACGACCTATAAAGTCAAGCGGAACCCTCAACTTCCATCACGGGTACACCCACCGGTGGTATCCACCTACTTCGAACTTTACACGGTCATTCCATTGCATACAAACTCTGTGAAGTCCGTCTCCAGAAACTCGCCAACAAGCTATCAATTCTCATTGTCCCACACCACTTCAGGATTCTGACCCAGAGTCAACTTTCAGGTGTTTCTCACTCACAGTCAACAACCAATCTGTCTAATGACTTTAAGGACTCCTTGGGTTCTTTTAGTGTCCCCTCTATCTTGCCTAACACCTCCGAAGAATAGAATATCTAAAAGCTCCACACCAACTTGCATCCCTTCGGATCGAAATCCAACCCGGGTACTGGAGCTTCTTATGTAAGAAGAGATCGACATGTATCTGCCCGAGCGCCCGTCGTCTTGGGCTGAGCCGCCGCGGTCTCGGCCGCCGGGTCCGAAGAGAAGGTGACCGGGTCCGGCAGCTCCAACTCCTCGGTCGGACCGAAGGCGCCGAAACCAAGTCGGTGGAGTCGGTTTCGTCCCATTGGTTGCCGAAACGCCCATGTTCTCCAAAGTGTCCGATGTGAATTTATTGGACCCCAAGTTGGTGGATGGTTTGTGTGTGTTTGTCAAAGTTGGACCTTGAAGAAATGCCAACGCGACCTATTATGGACTTACATTTTACAACCCAATTATCCCAGGACCAAATAGTTGCGAGTACCTACACCAAGGGTTCCCTTATATTAATATTGTCTCTAATTCCAAATGTCACCCTTCTGACCTCGTTCTTTCCTTCTTCTTGAGGCGCTCGTCTGGTGGAGCCAATCGCTCGAAACCCTCTTCTCGTCACCACCGGGAGCCGCGTCGAAAACCCCACGGAGCGGAGCGGAGCCCCTGGGACGCCCGAGCCAAAGCGCCGGAGACTCGGCGGTCGTCCGGGTTGGACTCCTGTCGAGGGGGGGATGTGTAGGACTTCAAGAGTTGGGTTATGTTGGGATGTGAATTGACATCTTATGTCAGAAGTGAGAGGAGACATATGTTTCAGATTTCTAGATTTGGGGGGATTTGCAAGGTTTGCCCTTCCTATCGACTTTGCAGGCCCCCTCACAGGCAGCGGAAACGAGTTGCGAAGCTTCTGGTTAGCTGAAGTTATAGTGAGTGACAGCAAAGTTCAATGGGTATTCTTCGCGTGGTACGGTGCCCCTAATATGGCTCTCAGGTTTTCTGGCAACTACCACAGGTTGAGCCATGCCCTTTTAGGTCGTGCATGGGTGTGGTTGATCATTTGCCATCCAATGCACGAATGCAGCTCATTCTCCCAAGGGATGCCCAGAGCAATTCTGTGATCAAAATGGTTCGGGAATACGTACCACGCTGGTGCTCTCACCAAGTAGAGTTGATGTAACAGACCAATTTGGGACCTTCTCGCTCTAAGTGACCCTCATCAGGTCTTTTAACCGCTCATCGGCATGTCGTGCCGGATTTCCTGGCTGCTTCCGGTGCCACCGGCCAGGTTCTGTGCACGGAGATCCTGGGCGCCACCCGGGGGAGTGGATGATGTTGATGGAAGACTTCATGCCGAAGATCTGGAATTCTGAAACCCTTCAAGATGTCTGAAATGAGTGAGGTATGTGAGGTCCAGAAAATCCCCACAGGTACAGTTCCTCCCTTGGAACGCTGAGTCAAAATCAAGGTCACAAGCAGTGAGCATGGGCCATGGGGTCCATATGAACCCCTTGACCGCTTCTGGAAGCCTCCCGGTGTTCATCTAGAGTGCCTCCCGGAGCGGACTTCTGACCGTCCGTCCGACCGAGTGGGGAGCGGAGGAGTTCGGCCGTATGACAGCATCCCCTTCTGTGCATGCACCAGCATGCATCGATGTAAATGCATCAGTTCTTCGGTAAAATACACTTTGGTGTAGCAGTGCACGTGCACGTACAGCTCTATATGCATTCATATGCTATCATAATGGTCATTGCTTGTCTTCAATGCCTCCAAAGGAATCCATGGAATCATATGGAACACACCCCTCCGAAAGGCGGGGCTGCCCATCCCATCCCGCTCATCCCGCCGTGCGTCTGCTGCAGTCATCGTGTCGTCGTCACCGTCTGCCGACGGTTGAGTGCAAGCGCAGGCCTCGGACCGAGTGAGACGAAGACGCGATGGATGAAATGGCGGGTGAAAATGAACCGTTCCACCACGGTGCAGGACAAGGAATGGAAGACATGACAAATGACTGTATCTTTTCACCATTCAGCAGCGCGTGACCTGAACTCCTGTTCAAGCTCATTGAGTCATTGAGCTTCTAACGGTCTACATCATGTTCATTCTCGGCCCATCTCACAACGCGCCTTCTCCTGCTCAAGAACTTCAATGCAATGACCTGGCAGAAACTTCGACGGTCCACGTTGGAAAAGGGCCCCAGCGAAAATACTGCCGAGAGCCGATGGATCTGGACGGCAAATCCGTTGGCAGCCCTGATCTGGAAAACGAATTGAGGTTTTATTCGTCACGAGCTTCGTCAGCTCTTGGTTGTCACCTCTCTTGCACTGACAGAAGACTGACTCCTGGACCGGACACCAAAGAGGTGCGGTTCCATGTTGTGCTCGGATTGCGCTCTGACGGGTGATGGAAGTTCATATTTAAACGGTGTGTCTTACTTTTTTTGGCCCGTTCCTAGTTGATTAAGTAGGCGCCTACTTAACTTAAGTAAGGAGATGTAAGGAGGCAAGCGACTAGCAATAGGAAGCTCCTAGCTAGGACGCAGGATAGCTCGCGCTTGCACTAATGATTGGTTCCTAGGTGTTTAGGGAAACTACGGGAAACTTAACTGCACATTCGTCAATCCAAAGTGTTTGACTGGCAATGAGCAAGGCACACTGGATTCCCTGGATTGATCTGGATTGATGCACTGACCTTTGATCTGTCCATTCTGGGTATTGTAGAATCCCTCAAGTTCGAAGGGATGAAGCTCATACCCGCCATCCCATCAACTTCCTATGTCCAAGAAGAGCTAAAACCGGCTCGCTCTGGTCGCTCTGCAACTCCTCTTCGACCTTTGGCTTCTCTGGGGCAGCCGACTTTGATTCCCCTTCTCCAGCACTTCACGCGTCCGTACAGCACGGTCTGCTTGGCCTCCCCGAGACCCACTAAAAGACCCACCAGGTGGTGAAGTTCGGCCAAATCGCAGGTGGGAACCGAGTGGTCATCAATCTCAAAGAACCACTTGCAAATGTGAGGGGACCTGGCTTTCGAGGCTGTGCTTGGTAGCTTCAGTTTCTTTTGAATTCTTTTGAGGCTGCTTTCGAGTTTAAAGTGCATGCAGGGTCGCTGAAATATATCAAGCGTACAATCTGCACAGATTTGACTCGACATAGAAACTGCCTGTATTGAACAGGTATACCAAGCATTATGTTGTGCCCACCATTCAATAGGCCAGGACATCCCAAATGACTTTAGGATCCGTAGGAATTCCCTGTAGCGGCACTTGCACTTCCAAAAACCAACATAATCTAGCAAGATGCTTTCCCCAAAGCCTCTTGATCCCGGGCATGTCGGCTACAAGTACCTAACTGTATTGGATCTGCTGGATTGCGGTGGTTTCCCTGGGAATGGATTAAATGGGGAAACCCTGAAGCCCATGTCCACCCTCTGACCGCTCGGCCGTGTCCCGTGTCCCCCGCCGGCACAGTCACCGGCGCAGTTGCTCCAGTCTGACCAGGGCCCCAAATCACAGGGGCATGGCTCTTCCTGAGCGAAGTGAAATGGGTGGGTCGGAACCTACCACAATCTCGATATGGGATGCTATGGGTATACGGCGGTATAGGGTATGGCACCCTCCCTGAAACAGGAAGTGGATGGCACTCCCTGTTTGTAGAGGAGTTCGTCATCATCCAACGGGCAACTGTCCACTTCCATGATTGTGTCAGGGAGTGTAGATAAATAAGGTATGGATCAAACATGGTCAAATCATGTCAAAACCACTTTGAGTGAGGACCCATAGTAAAGTGGAACATCCACTGTCATCCAGCATATTTCAATAACTTCCAGATTCCACCTTTGTGAATTATGGGATGTTGTGGGTGTTTTTGAACCCGCAAAAAAGCTCGGGGACTTCCTCCTCACCGCACAACTCGTCCCACATTTCATACGCCTGTCCCTTCAAAAGCCTTCACGCAGCCGGTTCCGTGGACGGCACTGATCCCGCAGTTCAAGGTGTGTAATGACATGCCCTGGTGCCAGGTCTTCACTCACCAAAGTCCTGTTGAGGAAAGCTCTCCGGTTCTTTTCAGCTTCTCTCCGGTGCATCTAGTTCACCTCATCCACCAGCTGTCCCTGTCCCTCATCCGCTCTTCGCCAAAAGGCATGGCAGTTGGCCGTTTGTCGGGTCTCACCCAAACATTCCGCTCCCAAGGAGTTGGCCGGGCGGAGGATGTCTCCTGGGCGGACGCGCGCAAGAGGCGGTTCCGAAGACACCGTCGCAAGAGGCGGACGGTCTTCTTCGGTGTCGCAAGAGGGAGGGTGGGAAGACGCCCATTTTTCTGGTAATCAGTGCAAGAGAGCCAGTTGACAGCTGACATCACTGAGATACACTTTCAATTGCAGCCCACTTCTCTGATCAAGACCATAGGAAAGATCTGGAAACATCGAGCATTTTGACCGTTCCTCACCCGGACTGCACACGTGTTTCTCTGGACCGTCAGGACTGCTTCCACGTAATCTCTCCAAGCGGCGGGTGCGATGAGTGATCCCCTTGTTGCAGCTTTTGGTGCACGCCTCCGCAACAGGTCTGTGTTTCTTGTGTTAAAAGTGCTGGTACTTTGTACCGAATTGCAGTATAGTTCTTATACATTATATATAGCGGTCCTCCCAAACACATGCAGACGATGTCCTTGACCTTGACATTTCTGAAGTGGAATCAAGTTGGGTATGTCCCATTCCCTGAAAACAGTGGATGATGATGACTAGTAAAGGCCTTTCTCTAAAATAGTGATAACTGTGTACCGACTGTTGCAGGTAATGGGACAGACCTAAGAATCAAGTGATTCCAGTTGATTCATGGAGGTGAGCCGAGACGGGTCAAGACTTCTCGCAGTCTCACAATCATCAGTCGGTGAGTGGCAAAAGCAACAAAGCAAACCATCTCTTGTTCCAGCAGTATGAGTACTGCAGTCATCTATGTGCAGGCGTAATGTTCGTTGCATCTTCCTGAGCGCCATTGAGTTCAGAAAACTTTTTTGGGAGGGCTTTCCGGTCTTCCAAAGCAAAAAAGCCTTACACGGAGCTTACACAGCACATACGCGGATTTCCAACACCAACGCCCTCAAATTCATTCATTGTTCTTCAGTTCTGTTCTTCTAAAGATGTTCAAGCAGCTAGTCAGAAACACACTCTGCATGTTTCGATGGTATATGAAGTTTGTCTAGAGTGCAAATGTGACATGATGTGTACGCTGAAACTTGGGTTTGCTTCTGCAGCTTGTGCAACGCCCATCTCCCACCAAAATCCATAATGAACTTATGCAACCTTACCATGTGTTTGCTTGCCTCTGAACATAGGACAAGCCCACCACTTGAACAGGGAAGTTTATAGAGTCGTCGCTCATGGGAACGCTCATCGCAAGGTCAGCCTCCCACTCGTGCCAGTCGGCCCACTGGCAATCAATCGGCACCTCCTGCGGGAGGTAGGGAGAGAGGCTGCTGTTGACAGCTCTCTGCAACTGGTAACTGGGCGATTCAGAGTCTGGACCAACTGGCTAACTGTGCTAAACTGCGATCCAATCTCATCCGCTTTGCAGTTTCGCACAATCAAAGGCCAAAAGGGGCTCAAACCATGGCATGGAGAAAAGCTGGACTGCCGTACGAGTCAGTTAGATCAGTTAGCGAATGGAAATTTGAGTGCCCGTAGGAAAGGTAAAATTCATTGTTCCATCCACCTCGACATTCTTCGACTCCGTCTCCTCGCCCGAATGGAGGTGCACCGAAGCATTCGAGCCCGGTGCGCCAGTGGTGCCACTCACCTCGCAGCGAGCACAGGTGGGCGCGCGCGCGCGCGTATGGACCGTGTGAACCATGTGGAGACTGAGAGGCGGACTGAGCCTGCAACGAATCTTCGGTGAATGATATGATATGATATGATATTGGTCGAAACCTGGTCAAACAGGAATCTTCTAAGCTGACAGCCATAGTGTTTCGGCGTTTGGGTCGATTCTCCCTTGCTGTACAGTGATCGGGCGGGTCGACCCATAACTTTGTTCTTTCTTATTGGTGATCAGTGTAGAATGCCTGACTCACTTCAGCACCAAGAGTTTCAACACAGAAGTATGACCTCAAATGAAGATGTCCTACCATAGGTTCTACTGTAGGACTCCTACTCTATCGTGCAGCAAGACGCAGCCATATAATTCAAGCGATTGCGTAATTTTCTAAGTATCGAGAGATTGTCAGTTCGAACAAGGTGTTTTCTGGAGATCCAACAAAGCCTCCACCTGCGAGATTCGTTCAAGAACCTGCAAGAACTGATTGCTGCCCCATCAATTTTCACGACAGCCACTCAAGCTCCTGTTGGACCGCCCGGCTATCACCACCAGCATTTGGATGGCCCCATGAAACAACTGTCCCGTCCGCGAGGACTGCGATAAACGCCCAGCCCGTCGAATGAATCTCCTGGACATGTCTCAAACGATGTTGAACACCATCGCTGTTGCCACCACTCTTCGGATCGCCCCATGTCAGAACTCTTCCATCACCAAGGAGAGCAGCAAAAGCACTTCGTGTTCCGACAATCTCGCGCACGTCTCTCAAACGATCCTGAACCTTGCTGCTGTCGCCGCCATGTGTCAAAGGGCCCCACGTAGCGACCGTTCCATCAGCAAGGAGCGCAGCACAAGCGGCATGGGTGCGACAAACTTTCCGCACGTGCCTAAGTTGATTACAAATAGTGACTGGTGGGGATTTGTACCCCCATGAAACACATGTTCCATCGCTGAGGATTGCAAAGAACTCAGAATGGCTTGTCAATACTTTCTGCACGTTCTTCAGTTGATCTTGGACACCGCTGCTGTCACCACCAAAGCCGGCTGCACCCCAGGT